ATTTCAACTTACAGTAACCCTGTAGGACAAAGTAGACTGCCCCTTAGGGTTTCCAAGGAGCGGCTGGTAGATTTGAACTGCCGACCTTTTGGTTAGCAGCCAAGATCTTAACCACTACGCCACCAGGGCTCCAATGTTGTAAATACCAAATAAATGTTAATTATCATCACTATTTTCCAAGACATGTTGAAATAAATGAAATAGTCCTTGCCCTTCAAGGAGCAGCATATGGGGGCGGAGGGAGTACATAAATAATCATTACAGCATAATAGGACTAAACTCTTTACAGGCAGACAAAAGGTACCATGGGAGTGTGGAAGAGGAGGAGTTCTCTGGATGGTCAAGGACAGATTCTCAGAGGTGGACATCTCTTAGAGAAGCAATTTCAGTGGAGTTATGATGGAAGAAGCTAGAGAGTAGTGGTTAAAATCATATGCATTATACATTTTGGCTCAGATATCTTTAGCATAAATCGAGTCTAGTCTCAGGGTCATTAATTTATTACCTGAGAAAGAAAAAGCTAAAAACATCACTAAAAGACTTGTAATACCTCATTATGTGAGTACATGAAAAAATTTTCAAGGACCAATTTGTATTGTCATTTCTAAAATTAAGTTCTTAGTTCTACCAAAATTTTGTCAATTAAAAAACTATGAAGAATTGGCTCTTCAATGTTGTCTTATAATTTTTTTTTCCTATTTAGCATTAAATATATGCTAGTGTATAGATTACTCATACTTTTTGAAAAAACTTTTGGCGTAGAATGTTTTACTTTCTACAGAGCCACTTGCCTTAACGGTATGAACCTTGATGTAGTACATCCACTGTGGAGCCTCTGCCCATCGACACCCATGATCCCCAGCTCCAGATCTTACCTGTTTTCAGCTGCTTAATGGTAACAGCTGTACAAGCTGGACCAATTAGAGCAGGCCTGCTTTTCAATCTAATGTGTTTTTGTGGCCATCCAGTTCGTTGGCCATGTTCTTGCATAGCATTTAGTAATTGGTAGCAGTAATTCTTGCTAAATCTACCTGGAGGAGACTTGAATTCTAGGAAACAATTTCCTATTTTCTCCTAATTTTCTAATTTCCTGTTTTTCTCAAGCAGAAGCAGATCACATTCATGAGCAAAATAAAATCAAGTATAAGGTGTTTTGTATTTTTTTTAATTCCTTTTCATAAACTAAAGCCCATTTTCCTAGAAATACGTTTAATATGCTGCTAAGGAAATACTAAGAATAGAGTCATTATATATGGTAGTATTGTGAACATAAAAACTAAATTTGCACCCTTTAAACATTCTTATAAATCCGCTTGTATGTTTTTCAATCCAAAGTCAGTTAGCCGCCTTCAACAGAATCTTGCCTCTTCATCTGTATTTTCTTCCAGGTTTCAGCCTGAGCCAGTCTGAAACTGACTAGCCAGCCGGTCTAGAACTCTCTGATCCCCATCACCACATGATCTCGTGCAAACAACTTTGTACATGTGACTATTTTACAATACACAGAATTTACAAATCTATGGATAATTTCTTAATTTGCAATTGAAAATCTGGGACTAATGCCCATTGTGAATATTCATGCACTTCTTTCTACTCTTTTTTTTTTTTAACCTTCAATTTTACTCTTTCAGTTGTGGCAACATGTAACTTTTTACACATCACACTGTAATTTGATATTGATAGTACTTTATATAAAATAGCCCATCTCAGGAATGTTTCCTCTGTGATTAATTTGTATGATGTTTTTAAAATTCCCTTACTTTCTTTCTTGAGATTATACAAGGGAGTCATATGATAGTTCATGGGGATTTAGGGAGAAAAATCCTTTAATTTACCTGGTTAAGGGATCCCACACTCAAACTAGATCTTACCGCAACTGCTTCTGTGCAAAGGGAGGGCACAGCCAAACAGCAAAGAGAAAGAAAATTAATGTCCACAGGCCTGGGTCCAGGAAAATTTTTAAGAGTCATTATGACTGTATGCAGTTTTTGTTTCCAGAATGTCACCAGTGGACGATGTGATAAGAAAAATCAAACATTTGGTACATTGTTGTTGCTAAGTGCCTGAGGTACCTAAAATGGACAAGACATACATGAAAATCCAAATTTATAGTGGGAATTCAGACTCTTAAAATGATGACTCTAAGTATAGTAAAATCTGCCTCATACTTTGGATGTCATCATTTGAAGATCATATTACATCAGTAATCATTAGCTATCTATTTTGGCTTGAGTATCAAATAGTGAATCTGTCAGAGGAATTCAGTTTTTAAAATGGTGTTCATTTGCAATAGTGGCTGTTCATATCATAGCCATCGTTAATAAACAGAGAGATGTCATTTAAACCAGACCAAGTAAACAAAAAGAAGAGATTCAATGATACACTTCAAGAGTTTTAACGTATTTTTAAATATATATTCGTAAGTGGAGATCATTGCATGGCAGTAATTCACTGTGATTGTATTTATAAAATGGAGGAAATAAAAAGGTTTCATAGTAAAATTTTGAGATTAGTTAACCTATCATCTTTTCTTCGTGTCTCAGACAATAAAGCTAGCCTCTTTTCTTCCCCGTCTTTTAAGGAGTGGGTTTGTTGCTTTGTAGCATCTTATAGACATAGCTTTAGCATTCATTCACTACTACTCAAGAAATCTAGGAGTCTCAAGAGGTCAGATGGCTGAGTTATAAGAACCTGTTTGAGGGTTTGATTCTTATTCGTTGGTTCATATGTATGAATGAAGTAAGTTAGTATCCTTCCTTTTTCTCTCTTCTAAGTTTAAGAGCTTCTATACCACCCTATAAGTCGGAATCAACTTGACAGCAATAGATTGTTGGGTTTTATACCACCGAACCCCTCGAATAGCTACTTCTATAAGATAAACTGGATTTCTTTTTTTTTTTAAATGACCTTCAGTGATATAGGAGCACTTAGCAAATCTGTGATAAATTCATTTAGAATAAAAGTTCCAAATGCACCCATAGGATGTGCAAAATAGAATTCTGGTTAGGATTAAAAGTTCATCTTGGATTAAAAAAAAAAAACCCAACCCCATTGCCATTGAGTCAATTCCGACTCTTAGCGACCCTATAGGACAGAGTAGAACTGTCCTATAGGGTTTCCAGGGTGCTGCTGGTGGATTCAAACTGCCAACCTTTTGGTTAGCAACCAAACTACTAACCACTGTGCTACCAGGGCTATGATCGTAAAAGTCTCTCAATCCTAATTATTTCTACGTTGATTCACTCAACAGATATCTGTTAGTGCCTGTCATGTGTCAAGTTCTGTTCTAGGAGTTAAGTATACAGCCTTCAGCTCTCTTCAGCCTCTACAGAACTTTTACCAGCAGCAGGATACAAAAGTCAGAAGGAAAAAAAAATTGGATTTTTTTTTGTGATATTTGTAAATTTTTTAGTAATATTTGTCAATCGTTCATAGACCAAAAGTTGAATGGAAAAGTGAAACAGGGAAACAGGATGACTTTCTGGATAATCCAGTCAGAAATTCCATTTTAGAGGGTCAAGGCCCAAGCTCCTTCCTTCACAATCTGAGTAATTTGACCATCGTATTCTAGGCATTTTGAGAAGCAATAGGACAAACAAAATAATTTATATTCTCAAGGAGAGAAACTAATCCTGAATACTCACATTTCTAATATGATTTAGAACATCTAAAATAGTGCCAGGTTTGCAAAGTGGTTAAATATAAGATCTAAGAAGAAGCTTTTTATAATACATCTTACTTAAGTCAAGGTTTCTCCTGATTTTTTTCTAAAAAGTTTGCCAATTGCATTTCTTAATATTAAAGTTGTTTTAGAGCTATCATGTTATAATCAACAATATATAATAGTTTAGGTTATGGCTAATGAACTTTTGTAAGAATAGCAGGAATTTATTTAGTGCCTACTATGTACTGGTCCCTAGAGATACAAACTCTGAGTTCCAAGCCTCAAGAAGGGCCACAATCTAATAAATAACTACAGTACAGTGTGATAAATACAATCACATGACTAAGTCAGATGAATAGTAGTGACAGAGTGCATAGCTGCCTCCTTGGAAAGAAAAGAGTTAAGAAAGGCTTTGAAAAGGAGATGAGGTGAGCTGGGTTGAAAGATGAAAAGGTGAGTTGTAAACATCCATGGTATGCTGATAGATAATGCATTATTACTGTCCAAGCTTATATCATAGAATGATAGAGCCCAAGTTGAAAGGCACCTTACAGGTCTTCTGATTCAGTATCCTAGTCATGTAAGAATTCTCTTGGAAATATCCCTGGCAGGGAAGCAGTGGGGTTAGTGCATTTGTTTTCCAGTGATGCTCTGGGATGTAGCTTCAGATATTCCTCCCCAAAGTGGGGTGGAGAATGGATTTAAACTGCTAGGGAACCTGCTCAGCATTTTTACCTATTTTATGTATTAGATTTACGTATGTTTTCATTGAAGGAAAAAATAGTTCCTCAGATAAAAACCACTGACATAGTAGAAAGAGCGTGGGATCTGTGGGGTAGCCTCATATTTGTATCCTTAGGCAAATGAAATTACATTATTTAACTTATGAGAAAGTTATCTGTAAATGTAATGCATTGAGTATATTTTAATTACTTCAAATGCATTTTTGTTACAATCTGAGAGCCCTAGTTCCTTCATTTACAAAATAAGGGAGTTTCACCCAGAAGTCTCAAGTTCCCTTTAGCTTTAGAATTATATGATTCTGTTTTTATCCGTTTGTCTCTTGAATATTTCCAAGGTCAGAAATGCTCTTTCAGTGTGCTCTTTTCCATCGTTTTTTATAAGACTTAATATTGAAGTTAGAGTATCTTGTTTTCTGAATTATAATTAGTAACTGGTTTTATAAATTGCAAATACTGGCACACAAAGCTGAGACTGTATCATTTGCAGGATATGGACATTTCAATAGCTAGTGATGTTTTGTGTAGCACATATGCCCAAAGTCAAATGCTTCAAGTGTTGCTTTTAATGAAATAAATTTATGTTCTTTTGGTAGCCAGAAGTGCAACTTGCTGAAGGCTTTGATGTGTTTATGCCTAAATCTCAGCTGGACTCTATATTGTCAAACTACACTCGCTCAGGAAGCCTTCTGTTTAGAAAACTGGTGTGTGCATTTTTTGATGACAAGACTTTGGCTAACTCCTTACCCAATGGGAAGAGGAAAAGAGGACTCAATGACAACCGGAAAGGACTAGACCAAAATATTGTGGGTGCAATAAAAGGTTGGTCTGCATCATTTCATTTTATGGGTTCTTTGTTAAGCTTTGCCTTCATTCCATAAAGATGCAGCTGAAATCCTAAGTCGGCTAACTACAGGCTAATTTATTTGTCATTGGCAAATCTTAAATCTTAAGTAGCAAGGCTTTTGGGTGTGAGCTGTATAACTCACCAACCCAAATACCACTGGAGTTTGGTATTTCAAGGTGATGTTAATTTGTGAAAATAATAATTTAGGAGCTGGTTTGATCGGCTGCAAAATCAAAAAGAAGTTTCTTCTTATTTGGTTTTTAAATGAAGGTATTTATCTTCTCAGTAATTTCTTACTAAGAACTTTACCAGAGTATGATTTTTTTCTTAATTTTTTAATTGTAAATAAGAGTAAAGATCTGATGCTTTTTTGAAAGTAAAGTGAAACAGTTTTCTCCAGAGTTCAGACGTTGCCTTACCAGGTCACTGCTTCGAAAGACACTTTAAGTCTAAGTGAACCCACTGTGAAGCCACATCCTGTCATTCCCACACATTCCTGGCCTATTCTGCTCCCTCTTGTTTTGTGACATGGAAGTATGTCAGTTACATGCAAAGAAGACCACGTATCTTTCCCCCTTAATGCCTTTGAATATGTAGCTGTATTTCACTGCATTCCGATAACCATGCAGGTGCATATATATCTTCATATATCCAGTTACGCATACTAGACCTATTTTTCAACTTTGAAAAGTCCTTATTTAGGACTCTGATGAATGTAATTTTAGGAAGTAGAAGTATTTAAATGTTATTTTTTAAAAGAATGTAAACAAATTCTCAAATGTAAACACTACCATGAAAATGGAATTTGGAATCAGGCCTTAAAACTAGAATAACTGATAAGGATGTTCTTTACTGGCTCAACTCCAACCTCGTTTGGCTTGTGGAGTGCTACTAGATGCAGAGAGCCTTCTCTCGCCTCCTCTCTGCTCCTCATTATCTCGCAAAATGAGAAAATGAATTTAATCGTCTTTAAAGGATACTTGGAAATCCACAGTTAACTTTAAAAAATAATACAATTTTTAAATGGAGTTAGCAAATACCAGACACCCTTTGTTCGTGGCCAGAAGGACATAAGCCTTCATTAACAGAAAATTTCTCATTCTCCGTCAGAAATGTTTTCACTTAAAGTGACAGTTGAGTTGTGTTAAATAAGAAAAGCTACAGAAATATCACAGTCTGTGCCATTTCTGAAAAGAATGATGCAGCCTAGAGTGACACTAAAAACAAAATTACAGGATTTGAAAAATGGTCAGTGATGTAACTAGGACTCGCAGGAGTGACGAAGGGTCCCATTTTGTTTTAGTATGGCTGGGGCCTTCTCCAAACATGAAAGTCAAGGCTGATGATGCTTTTCATTGCCAAAGCTTTTAAACACACTGAAATGCAGCCAGGAATTGTTTTAATTTTCTTTTTTTCAGGACAGTATATTAGCATTATAGAAGCATTTAGGCAACTATAAATGACCATGTTCCATTTTAATGACTGTAGAAGTTACCTTAATAATACATGGTAATGAAATATATCATTACACATAGACTGATTTAAGTTTATTCTACCATTTTTAATCTAGATTGTACATCATACAAGACTTTGAAAAACTATATTACAAGCAGAAATAGAAAAACATGCCTTAATTTTCTGCACTGCCCTACTCTTTAGCTAGAAATAAACATGACAGTGAGGCTGCTGCACCTAATACATAGTAAAGCAGATTATTCAAACCAGAAAACTTACAATTTCCATATTCTTCTTTCTTTTATGGTTGAATTAAACCTGTCGTTAAAATTCTGCTAGAACAACAAAGTAACTTTAAAACAGGCAGAAATTCACCCGTAAGCCACCAACAACCTAGGTCAACAAATATTTTATATTCCCTTGTTTATACGCTTTTATTTTAATAATTTTTTTCCTGATTACAAAAGTAATATACTCTTATAAAAAAATCCAAGTCATTAAAAAATGTATAGAAAGCTAAAAGGCCTCCATAATCCTACTCTTCAGAGGTTACCACTGTTAACAATTTGGTGTACATTCCCACAGTCTTTTTTAAAGTATGCATATAGTATCAGGTTTATTTTTCTGATAAGAACAGTCTGTTCATAGTTGCCAACCAACATGTTTACCTGATATATTCTGATAATTTATTATAAGATCCTTGAGGACAAGCTTTGTCTCAAATATTTTTTATTACTACCTGTTGTATTTCACCAAGAACTTTATACATAGTAGGGTTTCAATAAGTATATGTTGTGTGACTAAATGGACGTGGTTTTTTATTTTATATTTTGACTTTGGCCTTAATTTATTGACACAGTGGATCTCTAGTACTACACGCCCATTCTCATGTCTTCTCATAACTAATTTAGAATGATCATTATCAAAAAGTTGTTACAAAGTTCCATCAGTTAATAAAATGCCAGTGAAAGCAAAAAATGGAAACCAAAATTGAATAAAATTTCAATACAACTTTCTTAACTTCCTAATGCATTTTCCCTTTACCATACCATACTTTTACGAGCTAAAATTTATTAACCCACATATTACAGTAGCAAATGATTTTTGCTAGTAGCTGTATATTGAAGATCCTATAGAATAACTATACCACTTATTCTGGCTATTGGTAGAGATAGAAAGAGAGGTATATTTACTTAACTCAAATTTTTTGAATCTGAGTATTCTGGGAAAGTGATAAAATGGTTTATTTCTACACAGTAGTGCCAAGGCTATCCTGTGTTATTATTGCTGCCTGCCACATACTTTGAAAGGATTTCTCAAATATTAAATATTTAGTCATTTCTTTCTCTATCCTTTATGGGATAGCGCGCTAGTACTGTATTAATTTGAAAAGTCCTACAACTTAGGAACATGTGAAGACTGGTCAATTTTATAAATTCTCAAAAGTACAAAGAACAGTAGGGGCTAGATTTTGTTTCAAAGTGATTAGATTGGTTAAGACAGCAATGGGAAAAACGCATGAATATCTATGAAATGCTTATAAATATGAAGAAGAATGGGAGAAAAAAGACCTTAGTGTGGGGATTATTAACAAAGCTTTTTGTAGTGATGATTAATATTCCCCATGACAGTGTCTTGAAAATAAAATATAAGTCTCTTTGTAGAGGTCGTATTTTTCTCATATTCTCATCTGTTTTATGATGGCTAACACTTATTTGGTAATTCATTACAAATTCAGTTATAAGTATGACCATGGTATTGATGATGAAAAAAATCCTTAATAGAATCACTCACCTGAGCACTTTAACTCTGGGAAGAAGCAACTTATGATCTTATTGAATGGAGTCTTAGGGTTGAGTGCTAAGGATAAAGTTTAGCATCTTGGATTTGATTCAGAATTGATTTTATAGCCAGAGCAAGGAGTGGAGGTTAGTACTCACATGTACCTGCTGTAGACTATAACTGGCATTTAATTCTTGATATGATATACTCACTAGATCATACAGCTTGACTTGGTAAGAGTTATCCAAGTATTAATATGTTACTTGGATCTTTGAATGCTCTTCAGAAAATATAGTTGCAATAAAGCAGTTCTTGGAACCTGGGTTATGATGTTTAATTCAACTTCATAGCGATTAGTTGAGAATATTTTATTATTATCAGATTGTACTGGATTCTAGAATCCTCTTACATTAAAAGAAAATTTCATGTGAATGAAGTGAAAAGACTGGTTGACTGCTCTTAGTTTACTCCCGGGCTTACAGCACAAACTGCTGCTTTCATGGGGCAAAGTAAGCACTGACTTTCTTCTCCCCACCTAGATAGCCACAGGCATGAGAACATCTCTGAGAGGAAACACTCTTTGGTTGGTGGTACTCAGAAAAATTAACTGTCGTCCCTGCAAGATCAGAAGGCCTGACTATATTTGACGTCACTCTTTCACAGGCTCTGCTGAAGCGAACATCAAGCCCTCTCATTTGATTCCAGTAGAAAGTGATTACCTGATTTATTCTGATAAACTAGACTTGTAGGGTCCATATTTGTCATTTGATAATACCTTTATTTTCTATTTTTATTGACATCTGAAATTAATATGGTTAGGAGTAGAATTTACACCTGATTTATTATTTATTTTTTGACAGTAACTTCTTTTTTAATTTTTTAAAATTGTACTTCAGGTGAAAGTTTACAGAACA